ACTAACTTTGTCAATAAATTTTAATACAGGCAGCTCATTTGTTCTTACAAGGGGTGTCTGCGGAGAGGAATGGAAATCTCTATGAAGGCAAGTATAATGTAGCTTTTGTTACATACATATCTAATCGTACCTATTTAATATCATTCAAGCTTATTTGGCTTATTTTGTGTAATGACAAGTGATAGAAAGTTTATGGTCTGGGGCAGTCAAAAAGTGCAGACAAGGTTTTATTTCATGTATTTGAATTTTTGCTCTTTTCTTTTTAGCTATTTATTTTTACCGACAAGCTGTTCAGCTTGTTCCAGATATTGAGTTTCGAATCAAAGATTTTACAAGTTATAATTTGGCATCAGGTAGGTTTTTAGATACCTTTTCCATTGTTATGCATTTGACTGAGTTTCAAATGGTGCGAACTTTATAATGATAGTACCATTGATTGTATTTATGGATACCTGGTAAATGTAATGATTTTGTTGTAATGTTTTCAGGAATGGATGAATGAGTGAATGATTATGAATAAATGAAAAACAAACTGGCCAACAAATAAACAAACAAATAAACAAACAAACGAACAAAACCTCTGTATGAGGACGTGTATGGTGCATATGATACTGTAGGGCTTGGATATAACCCTGGCAAACTCACTAAATGCAAGTGATTTTGATAATCTGCGAGTGTGAAAATATCCACCTGCAAACATTTGTTAGGTAGAATCATCCATTTCTCCCAAACATGCTATAGATAGGTGGTGGTTGTTGGGATAATGGCAATTAGGAGACCAAATATTTGATATGCAATACAGGTGCAGTGCTCTACCACCTGAGCTACATGTAAAAAGCCAACTGGGAGCTGGTCACTATGTTGGCTCCCAGTAAACCTTTGAAGTGATGAATAATAACTGTGAATATATGAAAATCATATATGTGAGCTGTAGATAAAGATGTGAATATGAAAGCAATCTTCACAGTAACAAACCTTACTTGAACAGTAGTGAAAATAAGGCCTGAAAAAAAAATCCAAGTCATGGGTTCAAATCCCCTGGAGGCCTGAATTTTTTTTAGGCCTTATTTTCACTACTGCTTATCAAGTAGTGTTCATTACTGCAAAGATGGCTGTAATATTTTATGTGAAATTTTGTTTGAAGACTCTGGTGTCCTGTTGTATTCATAGCTAGCGGAGATGAGGAGGATGACCCCAATGTATCTCAGGAATCTGATGAGTAAGGAATTACTGCTTTTAATTTCAGCCTAGAATGAGTGACAGCTGGGAGCTGTGTAGTGTAGTGATTGTTAGTAGAAAATAATAAATAATGATAAGAAAATAATAATAATAATAATGATGGAATTTTTACAATTGAAAGTAAGCATTAACTTGGATCCTTGTTGTTCATGTCTATCAAAATGTGATGTCTTAATGTTATTATTTTACAGCTCACCTGAGTTAGCAGATTTAGCCAACAGATTCCTTTCTCTCTCTGTTACTGGATTTTGCCAGCCACTTTATGAGACTAGGGTAGGCTTACTGATTCATTTGTTTGTTTGTTTGTTTGTTTGTCAGTTTTTGACGTGTCATTTACAAACTTAATTGGTAAAACTAGGAAAACTGTGAGCACTTTGATGTTATGCTCTTAGGTCAATTGCATAACAGCAAATCAAAGTAATGATCAAGACTTGCAAGAAAATCTTAAAACCATAAATCCTATCATGATTATAAGGTTTAGTTATCTTATTATTTCTTGAAAGGCAGTTCTGTTGCATAAACAAAAATATCTCTGGTTTTCATGGTTTTCTGAGTGTGGTAGTTAATCAGAACCACAGGTTAACATAATTCTGAAAGGTGATTGGTTATTTGAAGTCTCTTGTCATGCTTGCAATTGGACAGTTATCTCATCTCATATGCGGACATTGTTATTGCACATTTTACAGAGTTAATTGTTGTTGTTTTTGTTGTTTATTGAAGTGCAAATGTATAACTAATGGCTAGTTTGTTTCTCTACTTTTGGTCAATTATTTGAATCGGTGATTGAATGATTGATTGGTTAGCTGGATGAATTATTGAGCAGTTGATCAATTTTGTGATTGTTTTACTGATTGATTCTCTGGTGGTTTTCTTTCTTCCTCTCAGATGACCCATATCTCAGCCATCCCACTGGAACTCGTCATGTATATTTTCAAGTGGGTGGTGTCCACAGAGCTTGACATGAAATCACTTGAACACTTAGCACTGGTGCGAAGACACTTTCATGCTGAGTTTAAAACTTTGTTTGTTTTTAAAGTAATAATAAAAATAACAATGACAGTGATAAATGAAATGACATAAGAGTTAAGACAAGAATTAAGGCTTTTGACAGAGCAACAGATCAGTGAGGATCAGTTTTGTCAAATCTCCATTTATCCACAAGGAAGCAAGCTAAAGAAATAATTCTTGTAGGCGGACAGTGCTACAAACAGACACTTTTATTGAATTCCCAAGGGTGTCCATTTACAAGAGAGTTGTCTGCTACCCTGTGTCTCTCCACAGCCACGTGCCTAGTTGTGTAGTATATTTAAGTCCCAGTGACTGTCAGAGAATAATTTCTCCTTTGCAGTTGTCTCCTGTAATCATGTCTTCCTAATTTGGTTTATTAATAGGTTTGTAAAGGGTTTTATGCCTGTGCAAGGGATCCTGATATATGGAAACTGGCTTGTCAGAGGTACATGCATGAACATGTAATTTTTGTTTTGTTTTGTTTGTTTGTTTGTTTGTTTGTTTGTTTGTTTTTTTTTTTGGCATAAATTCAAAAGCATCTTGAACCATTTAACTCCCAAGATCTGATAATTGATTCTCCCTTCTGGCTGCTACACATTTCCCTGTAAACTAGTTACAGGAATTTGGTATTTGATCAGGGTTATGACTTTTGCCTTATATGTTTGATTATTCTCATTACCTGTTTTGCTGGAAATGTTTGGAAATTATAGGGAGAAGTTACATGATAATCAATTCTACAGGGTTAAGGTTTTGACCCATAAAAATGACCAGCTTCTAATTTCTCCTTACATTATTACACGCAAATTAAAGTCACAAGAATAATGGAATGATTACTAACTAGAGAAGCTGTTCTTGATTGCGAAACAAATTCTCCTTATCAGCACCTTAGGAAATGTGAAAAGAATGGAATTGAGAATAT